GGTCTGCTACGCCATGTGGTCACCTCCGGGGCAGGCGGGAATCGAACTCATGCGGAAGCGGCTTTAGATTCTCAGTGTTGTGCTTTAACCCGCTGCGCCACCAGGGAGGGCCCTCCTTTTTATATTGTACAGCACACTCCACCCAGGGCACAGAGCCGCGCCTCTCATGACCCTGGTAGAATCGGGGGTGCCATGAGACCCTGGGGAGGTGTGTGGAAAATAAAAAGCCCAGGGAGTTTTGGTAAGAAAACAGGAGACCTGTGAGTCAGTGAGAGCTATAAAAGCAGGAAGCAAGGGAGGATTTAATAATCTAGGGTGCTGGAATTCTCCAGCTTATTTTAATATGTAGCATGCTAGTTTCAGAAAAGGACAGTAGCCCCCGCTTATCTGTGGCAGCACACGACGCTGCTGCCACCAAACGCCACCCACTGCCCTGCGCTGCTGCCTGTCTACACAGACTGGCATAACCGAACTTATAAATCACGCATAAGAGATGAATAATAGCTAAGCAGGACAGGATGGTTCGAAGAAATAAAGAGCCACTTTGAAAATTTACTTAATTATGCACACAAGAACTGGCGTGTAGGCAGTGAGCAGGTAAACCAGAGACTGTGGGGAGCAGAACGGGCAGATCTACTAGAATCCACTGTGGAGGGCAGCAGCCGGGAGACAGGTCTGCCACGCCATGTAGGTCAGCTCCCTGCTGGAGGTCAAACTTACATTGCAGTGCCTGCCAATAGCTAATAGCACTGAGACTCTAACCTTGGGGCCACCAGGGAAGCCCCTGTCAGAATATCTTGTATGTCACCTTTCAGACTGCAGGTGACAGATAGTTGAGTCTGCAAGTAAAGGGATTTGTGCACCTTCCACAGAAACTGTGTGCGTGGTGAATCATTAAGAAAATTGCTGGGGCCTCCCTGGTGACCCAAGGGTTGAGTCTCAGCCTCTGGCTGCAGCCTGAGTTCATTCCCCAGCCAGTGAGTGAGCTGACCCACAGGATGCAACAGACCTCTCCTGTCTCCTCACTGCTCCCCTCAGCAGTCAATTTTAGTCAGTCTGCCTGCTCTGCTCCCCTCTCTGTCTCTGGTGAGTCCTCTCACCACCCCCTCTGCACCTCTGGCCTGTACCCCAGTTCCTGTGTACATAAATACAAACTTTTAAACATCTTAAAAAGAAAAAAATCTGACGTTCAGTTTTAGCAGTTTCTTTTAACTTACAAAGGGCTGACATGCCAGGCCCTATTGTAAGTATTTATTGATCCCTGGTCCTGGGAGGTGGCTTCTCCTTTTAGAGTAATGCATTCGGCACTGGGAGGCCAGTGACTTACAGATGCCTGTGCCTAGCCTGTGTGTCCTGTCTTGGGCACAGCTGTGCAGCTTGGTGCCTCTCCAGGGTCTGGTCTCCCTTGGGCTTCATACATATGTAAATTTGTAAACTGATCCAGCCCCCTCAGTTTACCTTTGGGGAGAGTACAAAGCAAAAGCAAGGAGAAGTGACTTGCTTTGGTGGACCATCAATCACAAGGGCATAGTCACAAGGGCATAGAACGACATAGAAGAGTTCCTGCCTCTGGCAAGCTGTTTGGCAGCAGGCCCGGCCTCGAGCCAGGAGGCTGGGTGGGCCGGGGTGGGCTGTGTGGCTCAGCGGAGCCCACCTCCCAGCCATGGTGGTACTGGGCCACAGCTGGCTCCCTTAGCACCCACCGGCTCTCTGGGTCGTCTCAGTAGCAAGTGACTTGCATTTTCTAGAAGACAGAAACGCTTACATTGACTTTACATGCTTGGGGATTTATAACAGTCTGGTCCCAGCAGAATTAGAAATGAGAAGGCTGAGAGGCAGGCTTGAGGCGTGCTAGGCCTAGTGTCACAGGAGCGGTCTCCTGTGCCAGGGGATCAGTCCTGTAGAGGGAACCTTCCCCGGTTTCCCTTCGTCACCTCAGAGAGCCCGAGGGAGCCCTTGTTTGCAGAAACTGCTTCCAGGGACACTGCCGAAGCCGGTTCACAGCATGGCAGGGAAGGTGATAAATCATTTCAAATTAGTTGGCAGCGTCTAGAGCCCAGGCACAGCCTCTCCAGACCAGGGCATGTGTCAACCAGGGCACGAATAAGGTCACAGCAAAGCCATGTCCCAAACGTTTGCAGGGCCCCTGGTCAGCCAGGTCCTGCTGGTAGCCGGAGCGGGCAGCTGACGGGCAAGGTGAACAGAGTCACTTGCTCCCAGCGTCATTTCTCTCTAGAACCCTTCAAGTCACTCTGAGTTCTCTTCTGTTTTCCAGAGGGACGGCTGCCCCAAAATTGTCAATTTGGGGAGCTCTAAGACAGATCTCTTCTACGAACGCAAAAAGTACGGCTTCAAGAAGAGGTGATGTGGCCACCTCATCCCCCCATGGAGCTGCTGCAGCCGCCCGAGACGACGCCCACTGCTGCCAGCGCACGGCGCACGGCCCCTCCCCGCTGCCCGCCCGCGCGGCCCTCGCCACCCTCTTCCCACCCAGATGGGCTAGAAACGGAAAAGGCTTCCTCACGCGCTCTGGCAGGCTGTGTCAGGAGCGGGTAGTTAGTTCTTGGCTGTCCTTGAGTTCGAGAAGCAAGGCTCTTTCCCATCTTGCGGTGTTGTGTCCTCCGCCAGCCTCTGAATCGGAATGGCAGCAGCTGGGGCCTGGGGGTGGGTGGCGAGGAGCTCCCTGCCGTGACAAGCTGGTCCCCACGGCTGCTCTGGTGGCAGCATCCTCGGAGGGACCTGCTGCTCGCGGGCGACCTCGGAACAGCGGGTGTGGGGTTGTGCCCTTGTGGCCCTACCAGACCCTGCTAGTCATTTTCTCCTGAGAAGTTGGAAACCTTTTCTGTTGCTATTGTGTTAATAAAGTGGGTGTTTATTTTCTCGTCATTGCCTGCTGGGCCTAAGCTTAACTCTAGGAATTTATTGTCAAGGAATTTGTGATTCAAAATAGAGGTGGCACAGCTCATGAAGCCCAGTGCTCATACCACTGCCGGGAGGGCTCAGAACCACCCTGCCTTTCTGTAGCGGTAAACCAGGCAATTTTAGATGCTTAGGGTTGGTTTCCTGCCCAGCCTCAGTTTAGGCCTTTCAAGATGCTTCCAGTCATCGTGAGAGAAATGAGAGAAACAGTGGAATGGGTGAGCCCATGCACTTACATAGATAGGTCTTGTTTTTAAAGTAAATGATCAGGTTAAGGCCCAAGTTCAGGCTTGACCCTTTACCGTACTCAGCCGTCTGCTCTCCGCCTGCTGCCGGTGATGAGCAGGCTACTCCCGCGGAGGCCATCCACAGCATGAACGGCTCCTCAAGTCGGTCTTTGACATCCTGAATCTGGAAGATTCCAAGTGCTGAGGAAGCCAGGCTTGGCCCCAGGGTCCCTGCAGTGTGGTGGCAGGCTGAGGGAGAGTCCCCTGACTCTCGGGCTTGGGTTGAGAGCAGCGACGCGCCTGATGGCGTGTGATGTGAGTCTGCAGTGACCTTTGCCTTCAAGGAAGGTGGCGCCAGTACAGTGGAGGCTGCACAAGCAGGGTTCTTGGCCAAGTGGGGGCCCCTCTGGGCCGGAACCGAGAGCCAAGACCCCTAGGCTTCCTCACCCCCTCCCGATTAGTGCTCTCTTTCCCACCTACACCGAAGCCCTCGCCAGTGCCCAGCGCTCCCTTTGCTCAGCCAGCTCGTCCTTCATAGTCCTTCATACCTCGTCTGTGTCCCCAACCCCAGACTAAGTTCCCTTGCTGTTCGCACTAGACTGAGTATTGTGTTGACAGTATTTGCTGACGGCTGACGGTCTCCGCCAAGTTCCATCATGGCAGGACCCAAGTTGGTCTGCCTGGCCCACCGCAGGGGTTTGGTGCTGGATGAATAATTGAAGTTCAGATGATTTGGGGCTTTGAAGGATAAACCTGCAGACGAAGGGAGCTGGGTGGCAGATGAGGACACTGGCGTGAGGAAAGCTCTTGGGACGGGTTGGGGAGCTACCTGAGCACTTCTGTGGCAGCAGGCGTTTATGTCAAAGAATTCCGGAGGCCGGAGACCATTTCCAAGTTAGAATTTGTAACTGACTCCATAGTAACAGCCTTAATGTGTAACATGAGTCAATGTTTTGTCAAAACAAATTCAATTTTTAAAGTTTGCTTACGAACCACTCAAATCCACCTAACATCTGCAACTATCAAATTTTCAAAACCACTTTAGTTTCAGCAAAACACAGTTCCCTCAGCCTGGAGACGTGTGCCTCTTGCCAGGAATGTAAGTGCCCGGCAGGATGTCAGAGGACCTATTCCCACCTCTGACAAGTGGCAGGGCAAGGTCAGCCTCAGCCAGGTTGAATTCCACTGACCTCTGTCCCTTGTCACCTAATTTCAAAATCCAAGTCCTGCTTTATTTTCTTTCGGAGATCTCAAGAGAGCTATACAATGGATGCATTAGACCCTGAGGAAGCAAATGGTCTTAAGAAATTCAAATCCTTAATTAGTGTCTACCTTGACCTTTAATTCCTTTTCATTTTGAAAATTAGAACCATAGGCCCTCCCTGGAAGGACAACAGGTTAAATCACAGCACTATGAGGTGGTCACCAGACACTGCAGCATGACCCATCCCCAACCAGGGGGCTGACCCATAGGGCACGGCTGACCTCTCCTGACTCGCCCGCTGCTCCCCTCAGCAGTGTATTTCAGTCAGTCAGCCTGTTCTACTCCCCACTCTGCCCCTGGTGAATCATCTCACCCCCTGCACTTCTGGCCTGTACCCCAGCTCTTGCATACATTAAGTAAATCTTTTAAAAAAATGAAAAGAATGATAACTTCAGCCAACTGTGTCTGGCTACAGAAAAATCAGAATGGTTTTAATTAGTATTGATATTTTTCTCCATTGCTGAAATTAGCACTGTCTACGTAGATCTAGTTGAAGTGACAGTTCATCATGGTCAGGCTAAAAAAGGGGTTCCTTTTCCTAGACTAAGTTATTTAAGTCTTCACCGTTGGCTTTGTATTCAGTTCTAGATTCTAAAAGGGGCTGGCTGCTAGCTCCGCTAGGACACTGTACACATGGTAATTTCATCTTTAAAGCGCGGTGCTTATTACATAGGTGCTTGTTAAAAAAAGTAAATACGTGATTTTATAATCAAACTTGTGACCATTGCCAAGTCTTTTAGCCTCCGCTTTTTTGGTTTTTTGTTTTGTTTTGTTTTTGGTAAGGCTAAGAAAGCCTGCCTCTTTGGGATGGAAGGATTAAATCTGCCCTGTAAGTGCCTAAGTGCCTGCCCTTACTGGGGAGACTCATCCTTTGACAGGGTTTCGCTGCTGCTTCAGAGTTAGTTAGATTCTGGCATAGAAGGTCCTTTAGACCCCCCCTCCCAGGCCCTCC